CACCCACCGACCTCTCACCAGGCCGACCTCACACCCTCGCGCGGCTGCTCGCTGCTCCAGCTCCGGGGACGCCACAGGCACGCGCAGGACCCAGGAAGTTCCGGGGGAGGCAGCCAATTAAACTTCCTCTCCCAGGTCGCGGTTCCGCCCACCGAGCAGAGCCCCGCCTACAAAGCGAAGGCCTATTCGTGACTCGGCCAGAACACAGAGGCAAGCCCCGCCCATGGAACGTAGCCCCGCCCACAGAACGTAGCCCCCACTCACCGAGGTTGGTAGCACCCCACACAAAGCCCCGCCCACCGCACGTCCTGGACGTGGTTCCGCCCTGGAGCAGGTTCCCGCCCCTGACGTAGTCCCGCCCACAGGGCTCTTGTTTCTGGGCACGGTATCTGAGCGCAGCGACGCCCCGCCCTCCGCTGGAAGTCCCGCCCATCGTGCGAAGTCCCGCCCTCTACAGGAAGTCCGGTCCCCAGCGTCTAAACACCATTGGTCTGGTCACCGAGCCGAGAGGACGTCATCCGAGAGGTCGCCCTGGGCCTCTGCCTTCGGCGCCAGGAGGGGGCGCTCGCACCCTGTCTGGCGTCCACGCGCGAGGAGCCCAAGTCCTTTCCGCAGGGTGTTTCCTTGCTTCACAGCCGCGTGTGGCCGAGGCGGGGCGCAGGGCCACGGGAAGATGTTGCCAGGGGAGTATCGGCAGCCTCAGCGGCGCAGCGGGCGCACCCCTGCCTTCCGGCGCCCTCGTGCACCCCCGTCCAGGTCTCGAGGCTCACCGTCCAGGAAAGTACCCCCGGCTTCCGAGAGCGTCCCTCGCGAGAGCAAGTGGCCACGTGTTTCGCTGCTTCCCTCGCGGACGCCCAGGTGCCGGCGTTTCCACCCGCTCTCCTTGCAAACGGCGAGGCCTGGCCGCGCGGGAGTGACGGCGGCGCCCCACGTGGGTCGCGGGCTTCAGCTGTTCACCCTGGGCAGCCTCAGGAATGGGAGGCAAAGAGATCGAAACCCCACATGGCGCCAGCTCCATAAGTCAACACTCCGCACAGATAACCACACAGATAACCACGAGAGGATATTCCTGTGGTCAGTAAGCCCCGCTGCGCCGGTCCCGGTGCGATGGGGGCGGGCGTGGGCGCTGCTGCACTCGATGCCCACGCCTGTGTGCCTGCCTGCCGTGTCCCTGCACCCCGCCGGGCGCCTATGTCCCCCCTTGTATCCCCCCGAGTCCCGCAGCTCCGGTGCCAGGAGCTGTGGTTTAACATTTGCTCGGCGACGAGAAATCCCCTGAGGGTCAAAAGCAGGGCTTGTGGCCGGGCACTGTCCTCTGATGAGCAGATACCTAGAGGAGCACTTGTTATCTCTGCTCCACAAATCTGCTTTCCACTGAAGGACGCAGGCTTTATCCAGAGTAATCTGGTCAGATGCCTGGAAGTCCCAAACCTGACCCGTAGCAAATAGCCGAAGGTTGAGAAGGTGCAGCGCTATCACAGAGGCCATAAAAGCACCTAAGGTACGTGAAGTCCTTCCGCGGTTTTTATGGTTCTTGGTTAAAATGCAAGTAATAGTGTAAAACGACAGGACTTGCGACAGCAGGTGCGTGTTTAAAACCCAGAAGACTGCAAAGGAGGATGTGTGTTACTAAACTAGAACGTGACACTGAATCCCAGCAGTGTTTGAAGAAAAAATGAAAGGATGCTGTGCTTTGTAAGGATCAAGTTCAGTTGATGAGCAAACAAACACTCAGGCTGCCTAAAGCTCAACAGTGATTCCGTTTTTCAGTTGGAATTGTTGTCTGCACAGACGCAGTCAACAGTTTTTTGCTTAGAACAACTCCATTGTGCTGGAATTTGGCTAAGAATTGCATGGCTGTCTATACTATTGTAAATACAACCAAAAACAAACATTGGGCTCCTTAAAAACTCATTTTTTTCCGTTTCCTATTAGAACGTCATGCAGAGTCGTAGACATTTGGGAAACTGAGAAAAGCATAAAGAAGTGCACACCAGTGATGACTGGGTTCTGATCTAGCTCCCCATCATCTTTGTCTCACCTGATACTGTCACAGCTTCCTGGCTGCTCCCCCTGCCTTAATCTCTACCCAGCCCAGCAGCCAGAGGAATCCTGCTGAAATGGTGATCACATCATGTCGTCCTCTGAACTTCCATGTTCCCACTTCACCCAGAATAAAAGCCAGAGCACTTACAATGCCCTGTGCTCAGACCCCCCTGACCAACACTGCTTTCTCACTGCCCTGTAATCATGGCCCCTAAATGTCTCCTCCCTCAACTCTCAGGTCTTATTTCAAATGGTGTCTTTTCAGAGAGGCTTTCATGCCCACCTCTGTACAGTCAGGGGCCCTCTTCTCTGCTGTGCCGTCATCCCATATACTAGAGTTTATCTTGTTTATTATCTGGCTTCTCCATAAAGGCAGAGCTTTCTATCTGGTTTTGTTTGCAGATGTCTTTGTTTTCTAAAGCAAAACAAATCACCCCAAAATTTAGTTGCTCAAAACAAGAGTCTTCATTCATTATCTCACATTTCAGTGGGGGTGGACTTTGTGGGGGGCATGGTTGCATGTGTCTGGCTCCGGTCTTTCAGGTACCCTGAATCCTCTCCAGGAGGACATCTCCTCAGGGCTGGGTGTCCCCATGATGAGGAAGCTGACGGCCCCCAGACAGAGGGTTCGAAGAAACAAAGGCAGACACGGCCATGGCTCTCATGACCCGGACTCAGAAGTCACACACTGTCGCTCTGCCAGTCCGTTCAGTGAGGAAGGAGATGCCCTGAGGGGCTGGCTCAGCAACTGCTCCGTCCCCTGTGCCCAAAACTGCCAGCACAAATGTTTGGACAATGAATAGATTCCAGCCCTCATATTTTTAAAATATATTTTCAGCCTTTTTTCTAAGCAAATACACTATACTCTTAATTAAAAAATCAGAGTATCTCTCTTGATAAAAATTTATAAATATAAGCATGTTAACTATATTTTAAATGTAGTATTTAATGTTTTTCTAAAATTACATCTTTTGACTATACAATAAGTTATTTCAACTCCTCATTAGCATTTCTGCCTCTAGATTTTTTTTCTGCTATAAATGCATTGTGATGAGCATCCTTTTGCATAGCTCTTTGAGGGCATCCCCTAATGTGTTCTTGGGGAATAAGACCTAAGGTTGTGAACACTTACAATGCACCAGTAGAGTGACATTGACTGACTTATTGCAAGCCGAGGAACCATTAGCTAAATTCTTTGATAGCGGGGTTATTTTGAGCTCAATTATCTGGACATTTCAGCGTTGACCTAATGAGAGGAAGCAGAAGACCAGAAATGTAGAAAGTAGGGTTTTAGCAGCTTATTGTTGTCTGACAATAGAGGACAAAACTTCTGCCTCTAGTTTCTGAAAGCTGGAATCTGAGAAGTGGCCTGAGCGGTGATTCACTGGAGAATTCTCCCTGTGGCATGAACCTGGGCCAGCAGGTACCTCAGTGCCTGTGGGCTCTGCAATCTCCTGGCAAGGTCTCTCTCCTGGGCAACTTGCACTGTGCACCCCCCACCTCAGGGCAACCTCAGGAATGGGAGGTAAAGAAATCGAAACTCCATATAACGCCAGCTCCATAAATCAACACCCTCCACACACAGATAACCAGCGATAAGACATTCCTGTGGTTAATAAGCCCCAGCTGCGCAAATCACGGTGCGATGGGGGCGGGCATGGGCTCTGCGGAGAGCACCTTGGACTTGGGACTGCACGCTGGGCTGTGTCCCACCGGGAGCTGGCCTCTCTGTAACAGGAGTCTTGCTCCTGGCTTTCCTGCTCAGTAAAATCAGAGGGAAACAGCCACTTGGGTTCACATTTAGGCTTTCTAAAAAGAGCACTTGGAAAAGTGTGCATCTCAGAGAGTCTGTGCATACGTTCTAATAAAACAGCATCAATTCATCCAGGGTCGACAACACCATTTTGTTTTTCCCTTGGTATGTTACTACACTTCCCTAGGTATCTCTAAGGGTAGGGTTACACTTACGAGTGCTGCTTGGAACCTGAGGTGTTGACGCCATGAAGAGCCTACTAAGACTGGTTGCTGTAGGGAAGGCTAGACTGGATCCAGCTGGTTCAAGAGTGAAGTGGAGCCCTGGCCAGTTTGGCTCAGTGGATGGAGCGTCGGCCTGCGGACTCAGGGGTCCCCGGTTCGATTCCGGTCAGGGGCATGTGCCTTGGTTGCGGGCACATCCCCAGTGGGGAGTTTGCAGGAGGCGGCTGATCGATGTTTCTCTCTCATCGATGTTTCTAACTCTCTGTCCCTCTCCCTTCCTCTCTGTAAAAGATCAATAAAAATATTTTTTTTTAAAAAAAAAAAAGAGTGAAGTGGAGATGATGACCGTGGCCTTGGTCAGGATTCCTGGGTTTACTGGTCAGTATTAATCTTCCACTTACTTGTACTTGACGGTCGTGAACCTGGAGACAGAGGCTCTCTATTAAGGAAAACACCCACAAATAGTTGTAAAGGGTTAATTAGCAAGTTAATGGGGTCATTGACTCCAGAATTTTTTGAAATTTTAACATGTACAGGAAAATGGAAAGAATAGTCTAATGAGCACCCAAACATCCTTCAGCCAGACACGTGAGAGCCAGCTGCAGGCAGCAGGTACGTTAGCCCCACGGCATCAGCCTTCATCTACAGTCTTCCCATCACATCATCGCACAGACGAACATTAACATCGGTTCTGAGACCACCTACATGCTGTCGTGTCCACATCTGTCCTGTTGACTGGAAGATTCTATTTCTGCTGTTTTTCCCAATGTAGGACCTTAGGCTTACCCATTGTGTTAGGTTTTTACGTATCTTTTGTCTGCGAATCCTAGGCTGTGTAAATATCCTGTTCCCCCATAACCTTTTGTCCAGAAGTTCTAGCTCACATGATTGACCTTTGCCTGAATCAGATATTACATTGGCCTTGCAAAAATGGCTTTAAAATTCTGTCATCCCATCTGTAGTTAGTAGCTAGCATTGTCTCAGAAGCATTTTTCTCTTTCCCCCTGCCCCCATGGGTAATTTGAGGGAAGGAGATTATAATCTACCACTATTATTCTTTCTGATGGCCAATTGTCCCAAATTTGGCATAGGACCTCCTACAAGCTAGGTCCTGTGTGTGTTGTGTATTTTATATGACCCAGTTAGTTTTTGTGAGTTTACTTTGTTTGTTTTTCCTTTAATCTTTTTTTTTTTAAGAGTAACTTTAGGTTCACAGCAAAATTGAGAGGTAAGTATTAGGCATTTCCCATATACCTCCTGCCCCTACAAAAGCAGAGCCTCCTCCATTATCAACACTCACCAAAGGATACATTAGTTACAAATGATTAACCTACATTGACACCTCATTATCAACCAAAGTCCAGTTTACCTTAGGGCTCACTCTCAGTGTCTGTCTGTTCTATGGGCTTAGAAAATGTATATTGACATGCATCCATCATTATAGTATCACACAGAGTATTTTCTCTGCCCTGGAATCCTCTGTGTTCCATCTATTCCTGACCCCCCAGCCCCTGACAACCACTGATCTCTTTCTGTCTCCATGGCTTTGCCTTTTCCAGAAGGTCATAGAGGTGGAATCATGAGTGTAGTCTTTTCAGGTGGCCTTATTTCACTTAGTGAAATGCATTGAAGTTTCTTCCATGTCTTTTCAGGGCTTGACAGCTCATTTCTTTTTAATGCTGAGCCATAGCCCATTGTCTGGATATTTATCTTACCCCCGTTTGCTTATCCATTCACCTACTGAAGGACGTCTTGGTTGTTTTGAAGATTTGGCAGTCAGGAATAAAGCTGGTATAAGCATCAAGTGCGGGTTTTTGTGTGGACATAAGTTTTTAGCTCCTTTGGAAAAATACCAAGGAACATGACACTGGGTCCTGTGGGAAGAGTATGTTTAATTTTGTAAGAAACCACCAAACTATCTTCCAAGGAGGCTGCACCATTTTGCATTCCCACGAGCAGTGAATGAGAGCTCTTGTTGCTCCACATCCACGCCTGCACTTGGTGTTGTCTGTGTCCCGGATTTTCGCCACTCGTGGGTGTGGAATGGGCTGCTTCATTAGCTCCTCTGACGACATCAGCGTGGAGCATCTTCCATGTGCTTATTTGCCATCTGTACATCTTTGGTGAGTTTCAACCCCTTTTTAAATCAGGTTGTTTGTTTTCTTATTGATAAGTTTTAAGCGTTTTTTGTGTATTTTGAATAACAGTCCTTTTGTATATGTGTATTTAAATACAAATATATATACACGTACACTGTCTTCTGTGATGAAAGTGAATATAAATCAGACCTATTCCTAAAGATGTGGCTCTCGTTATATTGGCACAAATGAACCCACCTGTGCCACAGAGTGTGGGTGAGGGAAGCCCGGGTCTCCTGATGCAAGAAGAGCATGCAGTTCACTGCGCTCAGCGCCCTGGGAAAACCTGCTCTGCTGCCACCCCCTGAGCAGGACAGGCGCGGAAGGGACAGGCTGCCCTGCGGCCGCAGGTGCGCTCTACAGAACGCTTCAAACCCGTCCTCACTCAGTGTTTCTAACCCATGCGGCTACCAGAGAGGGACCTTCTGGGACGTGCAGGCATCACATTGTGCAGCTCCCGGAAAGATGATCTTCAGGCATCCACGCCTCCGTCTTTCCGGAAGGGGCCTGCCATCAAAAAGCTCTTGGCACTAGTCTGTCCTTAAGTGACACTGCACAGTTCAGGGTGAAATTTCAAATGGACCCAACGCTCAGCCTCAGCAGCTGGGACAGTGATTACAATCCTGCGGTTACAGGCGTCTGTTTTCAAGCCAGCTCCCGGAAAGATGATCTTCAGGCATCCACGCCTCCGTCTTTCCGGAAGGGGCCTGCCATCAAAAAGCTCTTGGCACTAGTCTGTCCTTAAGTGACACTGCACAGTTCAGGGTGAAATTTCAAATGGACCCAACGCTCAGCCTCAGCAGCTGGGACAGTGATTACAATCCTGCGGTTACAGGCGTCTGTTTTCAAGCCCCCCCCCCCCCTCCCGCCCAGCACAGCCGCCCTCCGGGGCAGGCCACCAGCACCCAGGGGACTCCTCACCCTCTCTGCGGGGTGCAAAGGGCTGCAGAACTTGGGCCCAAGGCACCCGGGCCACAACCTGCAGAGGGTGACCGAGAGCGCGGGTTGAGGGGTGGGGGCCTCAGGCCCGCCCTCTGCCTGGGGCACTTGGAGCATCTTCCTCCGCAGCTGCCAGGACGTCCGGGAAAATGGGGATGTAAGTGTGGGCCGCCCGCCTGCCCGCCGGCGCGCCCTGCATGAGTGCGGCTCAGTCACTTCTGGGCTTTGCCGGCTCCCCGCGCCCTCCCACCTCCGCCTGGTGACTCACTGTCCCGGGACGGCCCA